ATTATTATTATTATTATTATTATTGTTGTTGTTGTTGTTGTTGTTGTTGTTGCTGCTGATGTTTTTGCTGTTATTATTATTATTATTATCATCATCATTTCGAAGGTGTCTCATTTTGTTCGAAGATTCGTAAAGAAAAAAAAAAGGAACTCTGCAAAATTTTCCGGTGCAGATTGTATTTTGGTATCTCATTCTAGTTTTTTCTTTTTTTTTCTTTTTCATATTCTTAAAAATTCAGGTGTACTCTTCTTCGTTAAAGCGTTTTACAAAGTGGTTCCTTGATAATCAATAACGCAATCGCAGATTATTTCTTTCGATATTTCGCTACGTGTTTCTTATTTTCTTTCTTTTTTTCTTCTTCGTTCTGCCCCTTCCTTCGACTTGCCTTCTTATCGAAAAATCTAGATACTAAACATCGACGCATATGACTTCGGGTGGCGCTACAAATCGCGGAATAACATTAGACAGAAATAGAAAGAGATATAAAGAGAGATAGAGAAAAAGAGTGCGTGTCTTTGAAAAATGTAGATAAAATGGTAAAATCCTCGTTTTTTTTTTTAGCTTGTTCTCCTTTGCTCGTATCACGGAGGGACAAAAAATCTCGAACGAGTTTCGTAACAATCTAAGAGATCGCTAATCCACCCTCGCTGCTCGATTTCCCATTCGATCGAGTTCTAATTCGTAAAGTTATACATGTCACTAAAAAACATGCACGGTTATATTGCACGCTGGCCTTTTGGTATGTCGAGTTCCTCTCGATTCTTCCTCTCTCGTTTTCTTTTCTTCGTTTTCTTTTTCTTCGCTTAATCGTTACAAAAAAAAAAAAGAAAGAAACGTTTCTTTCATCCTCCTTCCTCCCCGCCATCTAAGACGATGCAAATTACTCGAGGCAGAAGACGCACAGCCTTCTTTGGATTTTTCCTCTGAACGCGACGCAACAAAGTCCAACGTGCAATATAGTCGCGGACATCAGAGAGTCGCGTATTAAAGTTACATATTTAATGCACGTTACGTTATTATACCCGTACTTTCTCGTACAATGATGAGACTCAGAATGCGAGAGGGGAAAAAAAAAAGGAAAGAATCGATCCGGGAGTCGAGAGGATGCTTCAGTGGACGCGCATATAAATCTAAGAGAAAGGCTTTGGGTTTCAATACCCAGTCGTAAGCTTAACGATATTACACGCTTCTA